TCTTGCTGACCCTGAGTCTGACTCTCGTCATGCTGCCAGTCCAACTGTCATGCGTCTTCTGGCAACTTCTGTCCCTGACCCTTCGTTTGAGTCTGCTGCTGCGTCTGCCCTAGTTGCTGAGCTTGTCGACTTTGCTGCTCGCTCTCAACTAGACTACGCTGCCAGTCTTGTCGCTGAGTCTGAGTCTGTCTGTCCTCCGTCTCTCGAGGGTGAGTCTGCTCTTAGCACGGACGTCCTTGAGGACAGACAGGAGGATCTTGAGTGTCTTGCAACCGCTGCGCCCCATCTCGTGTCCATGCTAGTTGCCCCTGAGGGAGACCCAGATGGACCAGACATCCCGACTCTTCGATCGTACGCTGAGGCGATTGAGGGTCCCTACTCCTTACAGTGGCAGTCAGCCATGGACACATAGATGGCTTCCTGGAAGTCCACAGGCACCTACGTCGACGAGGTTCCCCCACCTGGGGCGAACATCGTCAGTGGCATGTGGATTTTCAGGGTGAAGCGGCCGCCGGGTTCTCCGCCTGTCTTCAAGGCTCGTTACGTTGCTCAAGGCTTCAGTCAGCGAGAGGGGGTAGACTTCTTCCAGACCTTCTCCCCCACCCCGAAGATGACCACTCTTCGGGTACTACTGCACGTTGCTGCTCAGCGGGACTACGAGCTTCACTCTCTTGACTTCAGCACAGCTTTCTTGCAGGGCAGTCTGCACGAGGAGATCTGGATGCGCCGCCCTCCTGGCTTCACTGGGTTGCTCCCTCCAGGTACCCAGTGGAGCCTCCGCCGGCCGGTCTACGGTCTCCGCCAGGCACCACGTGAGTGGCACGACACACTGAGAACTACACTTGCGGCTCTTGGGTTCTCTCCTTCTATTGCTGACCCGTCGCTGTTTCTACGCACCGACACTTCACTGCCGCCGTTCTACATCCCCGTATACGTCGACGACTTGGTTTTTGCCACAGCTGACACTGAGTCTCTCGCCCACGTCAAGTCGGAGCTGCACAAGAGACACACGTGCACAGACCTGGGTGAAGTGCGCAGCTACCTTGGCTTGCAGATCACCCGGGACAGAGCACGCCGCACCATTACCCTGAATCAGTCACACATGGTGCAACAGGTCCTTCAGCGCTTCAGCTTCACCTGGTCCTTAGCAGAGGCCACTCCTCTGGCTATAGGTCACTCGCTCTCAGCTCTGCCTTCGGATGAGTCCGTAGAGTCGAGTGGTCCTTACCCAGAGTTAGTTGGTTGCCTCATGTACCTGATGACTTGCACTCGTCCTGACCTAGCATACCCTCTTGGCCTTCTGGCTCGCTACGTGGCTCCTGGTCGTCACCGAAAGGTGCACTGGGATGCTGCAAAGAGGGTATTGTGCTACTTGTGCAGTACATCAGGCATGGGGCTCGTGCTTGGAGGAGGGAGCTCTGTTGTTCTCACTGGGCACTCAAACGCTTCTTGGGCTGACGACGAGGCTACTCAGCGGTCGTCACAGGGTTACACCTTCAGCCTTGGCTCTGGTTCAGTTTCGTGGCGCTCTACTCGTTCGTCTTTGGTTCTCAGCTCTAGTTCAGAGGATGAGATCTACGCCACAGCCATGGCTGCACAGGAGTTACGCTGGCTCACCTACCTGCTGACCGACCTTAGAAAGCGGCCTAGTTCTCCTCCAGTGCTGTACGTCGACAACAAGGCTGCCATTGCCTTGTGTCAGGAGCACAGACTAGAGCAAAGAACGAAGCACATAGCTCTCTGTTACTTCCTTTCTCGTGAGCTTCAGCAGCGTGGTCAGCTTCGTCTGTGCTACGTGGCCTCTTAGGCCAACACCGCTGATGTTTTCACCAAGGCACTTCAGCCTGGTGATCATCAGCGCTTCTGTACTTTGTTGGGGCTAGTGCCCACTCTGTCTCACTTGTTCTAGGCTTTGCCTATACTGTGATCTCTATATATACTCCTACCTGTTTGCTCTGCTAGGTTGAGATCACCCTTGCTGTCTGTACTACTTATATATTCTTCTGCATGTGAAATGGCCTTGTGGCCCTTTGCCTGTGCTCGGAGTGTCTGGTGACGTTGTGATCCACCCTGAGCTTGCTTGCCTTTCTTGACTGGTCTTGTGACCCCTTGTTCTCCCCCACTTTGCCTATGGGGGTGTGTCAAACACTATATGTGTTATTATTGTGTAGGCTATAGTGGGTTAGCCTTTAGGGGGTACACAAAGTTAGGGTTTCCTACTTGTACTCCTACTTTCATAGTGGAATCACTTCTTGTTCGTAACACTGATGACCTGCACACGACCTGACCTTGCATACCCTCTTAGCATCTTGGCACGCTATGTTGCTCGTGGGAGACACAGACCAGAGCACATGGCTGCAGCGAAGAGGGTGTTGCGCTACGTGTGTAGTACGTCGGGCATGGGGCTAGTGCTTGGAGGGCGACGTCGAGTAGTCCTCACAGGTCACGCTGACGCTTCTTGGGCTGACGACCAGGCTCTGCAGCAGTCGTCACAGGGTTACACCTTCAGCCTTGGCTTCGGCTCTGTTTCGTGGCGGTCTACCTGCTCGTCTTCTGTTCTCAGCTCCAGCTGTGAGGCTGAGATCTACGCAGGGGCCATGGCTGCACAGGAACTACGCTGGCTCACCTACCTGCTGACTGGCCTAGGAGAGCCGCCACGTTCTCCTCCACTTCTGTACGTAGACAATAAGTCCATGCTGGCCTTGTGTTGGGAGCACAGACTGGAGCACAGAACAAAGCACATTGCTCTCCGCTACTTCCTGGCTCGTGAGCTGCAGCAGCGTGGTCAGCTCCGCCTCACCTACGTGGCCTCTGAGGCCAACACTGCTGATATCTTCACCAAGGCCCTTCCACCTTGTGATCATCAGCGCTTCTGTACTTTGCTAGGTCTTGTGCCTACTTGGCCTCACTTGCTCACTTCTTGATCTTGTTTGTACTGTATTCTGTCTATACCTGCACTTGCTTGTTTACCTTTATATATATGTTCTTGCATGTGAACTGGTCTTGTGACCTTACTCTTTTGCTCGGACTGTGTGGTGACTTTGTAATCCACCCTGAGCTTGCTTTGTTTTGCTTGACTGGTCTTGTGACCGCTTGTTCTCCCCCACTTTGCCAATGGGGGTGTGTCAGAACATTATAGCTTATACATTTGTGTAGGCTGTAGTGGGGTAGCCCATAAGGGGTACAACCCAATTAGGGTTAGTACTTGTACCCAATTGTTACATAGTTCATTCATCCATTCTCACTTCTCGTCACTCATACCCTCTATCGTGTATCCCAGCGTAGTCTACAAAGTAGACATGCAAAACATGTGTACACTGACACCAACGACTGTTCCTCACGCCCCCCCCCCCCCCCCCCCCCCCCCCTCCCTGTTTAGTATTCGGGTCGTAAGAACCGGTAGTGCCTCGATATCACTCTGGTGTTCCCTCAGAAACACATGCTATTTATTATAAAAAACATTTTGATGGGATGGGTGCAAAGCACATGAATTGTTTACCAAACAATTTTGTTACACACATAGACATTTAATGTTAAGGGGGGGTTTACTGTTCATTTCGAACAGTACTTTCAAACTCACCCTTATCCTTATCTTCCTTGATTTCCTAGTGCCACGTGGCACTCTACCTTTCTTGCCTTCAATTCCTAGTCCCACGAAGTACTTTCCGACATTCGATCTTGCATGCTATATCAACCTTGCTTGTACTTGCCATTATCAACCAATTCTCATTCAACTCTTCTTCAATTACTCAGTAACTTCTTCGCCTATTTTGTCAGAACATTATAGCTTATACATTTGTGTAGGCTGTAGTGGGGTAGCCCATAAGGGGTACAACCCAATTAGGGTTAGTACTTGTACCCAACTCTTTCATAGTTCAATCATTCTCGTTTCTCATCATGGTATCGAGCCGGTTCCCTAGTGGGAATGCTGCCTAGGGCCCACCACGATTTTTTTTCCTTGCCCGGAGCGCGCTTCACTCGTGCCCGAGTCGCGCTTCGTGTGCCCTACCTACCCTCGAGCCGCCCTTAGTGGCCCCTCTCACGGCCCCTTCGGCCCCCTAAGGCCCCTTGCGCCGCCCTCTAAGGCCCCTTGCGCCGCCCTTACGGACCCTTACGGCACCGCCTAGGCCCCTTACGGCCCCTCCGCGGCCCCGTCTAGGCCCCTTGCGGCCCCGTCTAGGCCCCTCCGCGGCCCCGTCTAGGCCCCTTACGGCCCCGTGTAGGCCCCTCTACGGCCCCGTCTAGGCCCCTCCGCGGCCCCTTCTAGGCCCCTTTCGGCCTCGTCTAGGCCCCTCCGCGGCCCCGTCTAGACCCCTTACGGCCCCGTCTAGGCCCCTCCGCGACCCCGTCTCGGCCCCTTTTCGGCCCCGTCTAGGCTCCTCCGCGGCCCCGTCTAGGCTCCTCCGCGGCCCCGTCTAGGCCCCCTTTCGGCCCCGTCTAGGCCCCTTTCGGCCCCGGCTAGGCCCCTTTCGGCCCCGCCTAGGCCCCTCTCGGCCCCGTCTAGGCCCCTCCGCGGCCCTGTCGCCACCGCCTGCGGCCCGATCGCCGCCACCTGCGGCCCGATCGCTGCCACCTGCGGCACCGCTGCCACCTTCGGCCCTGACGCCGTCACCCGCGGCCCCGTCGCCCTCCCTTCGCGGCCCTATCTCCGTTCCGCCGCCCAACGACCGAGCCGTCGAGCAGCACAGCACCCGAGCCGCCCACCTACCGAGCAGCCGAGCCGCCCACCTACCGAGCAGCCGAGCCGCCCAGCAGCCGAGCCGCCCAGCAGCCGAGCCGCCCACCAGCCGTGCCGCCCAGCCGCCGAGCCGCCCAGCAGCCAAGCCGCCCAGCAGCCGAGCCGCCCGGCAACTGAGCCGCCCAGCAGCCGAGCCGCCGTGCCGCCGAGCCGCCGAACCGCCGAGCATCCCTACTGTCTAGCAGCTGCTGTTCCTACCGGTGCTCCACGGCTGCTCCTTCCTCGGACTGGTGAGCTCACTTCCTCCTAGGCCACTGCAGTCATGGCTACCCCTAGTGTCCTCACTTTTGATGATGAGGGCCGTGCCGTTGACTTTGAGGTCTGGGTCGATGACCTCCAGCTGTTTCTCCAATGCGATAGGGCAAACGGACTCTCTCTGTTCGATCTCACCTCTGGTGTCTCTCCTGCCCCGCCTGCTACTGCTGACAGCACTGTTTGCTCACAGTGGGCCACACGGGATGCTGCTGCTCGCCTTGCTGTTCGTCGCCACTTATCGACCACTGAGCGTGCACACTTTAGCCAATACAAGAGTGCTCAGACCTTGTACAACGCTATAGTTGCACGCTACTCTTCCCCTGCCACTGCTGCACTGAGCCACCTCATGCTACCGTACCTCTTCCTTGACCTTGCTGCCTTTCCCACTGTCGCTGACCTCATTACGCACCTCCGCACTAGTGACACTCGCTACCGCGCTGCGCTTCCTGCTGAGTTCTGCGCCCAGAACCCCCCCCCCCATGTACATCACCCTCTACTACATAGTCACCCGGCTCCCTGACTCTCTCCGCGTAGTCAGGGACCACTTCCTCTCCGTTTGCCCCACCACTCTCACCATTGACCTCCTCGAGAAGGCCCTCCTAGCGATAGAGAAGAGAATAGTTATTGTAGGAGCCTCTCGTGGTGACCCTCCCACCCCCGTCTTTGAGGGTTGTTCTCCCTCCCCCCTCTTGCCCTCTGTTGCCTCTGCTGCTACGGCCGACCTCGTTGGCTTCGAGTCGGTCGGCGTTGCGTCTGCCCCGAGCGGGAGACGCCGCACCAGCAAGGGCAAGGGGGGCGAGGGCGCTGGAGGGGCTAGAGGGGGCGGTGGAGGTGGTGGTGGAGGCAGTGGAGGGAGTGGGGGTGGTGGTGGGAGTGGTGCCGGGGGTGGCGGCGGCGGCGGCAGCAGTGGAGGCGGCGGAGGCGATGTTGGTGGCGGAGGGAGCGGAGGCGGCGGAGGGAGCGGAGGCGGCGGAGGGAGCGGAGGCGGCGGAGGGAGCGGAGGCGGCGGAGGTGGCGGAGGAGGCGGGGGTGGAGGAGGCGGCGGCGGCGGTGTTGGAGCGGGTCGCGACTCTGCGCAGAGGAGTGGCTCAGGTGGTGGTCCGCACCAGCAGCAGCGGAGTGGTGTGACCCTGTCCCCTCAGCAACTTCGTGAGTGGTACACTGCGCGTCAGCGCGGTGGGGGTTTTGGTCCCTTCACTTACGTCCTCCGTACCGGCGACCGAGCTGGTGAGCAGTGCGAAGGCCTGCACTCCACCCAGCGCTGCTTCCGTCGCCTGACGGACGCGTGGCGTCGCCAGTTCCCTGAGGCGTTAGAGATCCCTCGCTGGGGAGATCTGGCCAAGGCAGGGGTTGTTATCTTTGATCTTGATTTTGATGCTATTCTTGCTGCCATGTATGCTGTTGATACTAGTGTTGCGGGTGACTGTTACCTGTGTGTACCGCCTGACCCGGGCATTGAGGCCGCTGCTCTAGGTACTGGTGAGGCTGCTGCTCTAGGTGCTAGTGCGTCTGCTGCCCCCGGTGCCAGTGCGTCTGATGCCCCAGGTGCTAGTGAGTCTGCTCTCTCAGGTACTACGTCGGCTCAGGCCTTCCACACCTTCACCCTTGACTCGGGTGCATCCCGCTCCTTCTTTCAAGACCGCACCACTCTTACGCCGCTCAGTCGGCCGGTTGCAGTCTCCCTGGTTGACCCCTCTGGGGGTCCTGTCCTTGCTAGCTACTCCAATGTCTTACCGTGCCCGGCAGCCCCCTCTGGTACCCTGTCAGGTCTCTACCTCCCCTCGTTCTCTACGAACTTGGTGAGTGGAGCGGACCTACAGGATAGGGGGGTTGACCAGTTCACTCCTGCGAGTCAGGGAGTGACCCACTGCACGTGTGCTTGGACAGGCCGACACTGTTATAGTCATAGTAGGTTCCAATGTGCCTAAAACGAAAGTTAGAGTGCACAGTCAGATTTCTGCACAGCGGCTTCAAACGTTCATAACGATCTGCTCACAACTCCAAATGACTTCATTCAACTTGGATCTAGAGCGCCTCAACGTCGTCTACAATAGATAGTTTAAATTGCACGTTTTCATTAACATTGACGACACAACGTTGGTTTGAACGAACGGCACTATGGCAGCAACATAGTCTTAAAACACAAGATAGGAAGAGTTACGAGTTGGGAATGACTCCCAGCTCCTACAAACCCCAAGAGTCGAGGTACAGTGATGTGGAACAGTGCCACACTGTCCCCAACCATGAAGGGTCTCAAAACTACCCTTCATTAGGGCCTACACCAAGTGAAATGTTACACTACACAAAGTAATGTAACTATCTTCAATATCTTGAGGTGCACCTTTTGGCGAGCTTCGAAATCACTTGAGGCTTGACACCAAGGCTCGGGCTCTTCATCACAAAATCATCCTTGAGTTCTTGATGGGTCTTCTGCACACACCTGCGACACGCCGAACGTTCGACACAGGACAAAATAGAAACCGCGCACGACAAAATAGAACCGCGCGCGAGACACAAACGACCGCGTAACACGCGTCTAGCGATAACTCGCTATTGACTCGACACACACACTCGACATCATGACTCAACATTCACACACAATTTTAAGCATGAAATATATATCATCCCATGCCCTCATACCATTCCATACACACACACATGCATGCACACGGACAACAAGCCGAGTGCAAACCGTAGGGTTGCACCAACAAGCTCCCCCTCGGATTGTTGGCCTTAGGACATGTTGCTCTCTCAGTTCAGAGCCATCCCAGTCAGCTTGCAACACTTCCAGTGCTGCTGCTCCACCAGCCTCTTGGTCATCATATCAGCCGGCTGCCCCGTGGTCTTCACGTACCGCAATTCAACTTCACCCGTAGTCACCATGCTCCTCGTCCAATGCCACTTCACCCTCATGTGCTTTGTGAGTCCATGCAACACAGGGTTCTTAGCAAGAGCAATGGCACCCTCGCTGTCAGAGTAGAGTGGGGTAGGTCCTTGCTGCTCCTCCCCCAATTCAGCCAACAAACGCCGCTGCCACACAATCTCCCGTACGGCACGGAAGAGTGCCACGTACTCGGACTCCACCGAGCTCAAAGCTTGGTCAACCTGCTTCTTGCTCTCCCAAGCAATTGGGCCTCCACCAACACAGCATATGAAGCCTCCCACACTTGTCATGTCCTCTGGTTCCGATGCATATGAAGCATCCGAGTAGGCGGTGAGGAACAAACGCCCGGGTTCAACACCATCCGCGCCCTTTTGGCGCCTTTGTGCCGCCGCCGAGTATTGCAGCCCAACGGTCGGTGTTTGGCCAAGATACTTGGCCACCCTCATTCCAGCTGCTACCTGCTCCTCATTAGGGCATTGCACAACCCTAGCTAGCTGCCCGGTAGCAAACGCGACGTCCGATCGGGTGTTTACCGCCGCATACATGAGGCTGCCCATCAACGAGTGAAAACGGCGCCTCTCCTCTTCTCCAACGCTCTCCTCCTCTGGCCCCTTCACACACTTGAGCCCAGAGGGAAAGGGAGTAGCCACATGACCTTCACTCTGGCCGAAGTTGGCGGCCAACGCCTCCAGGTACTTTCGTTGGTGCACTCGCATGCTCCGCTTCTCCGCGTCTCGTTCGATGTGGAGCCCAAGGTAGAAGTTCACGTCATCAAGGGACTTTCACTTGAACTTTTCTTGCATCTTCAGCATCACCTCCTTCACAAGGTCAGAAGAGGGTGAGAAGATGAGGATGTCATCCACGTACACCACCATGAAGCTCCTGTGCTCCCCCTCGCCAAGCATGAACAAGGAGTGATCGGCCGTTGAGGGAGTGAAGCCGATCCCCTCCAACACTTTGCGCAGCTTCATGTACCATTGCCTAGGGGCTTGCTTCAGCCCATAGAGGGCCTTCTTCAGCTTCCACACTCTGCCACTACCATCGTCAAACCCCTCTGGCTGCGCCATAAAAATCTCCTCCTCAAGGATGCCGTTAAGGAATGTCGTTACGATGTCCATTTGTTTTACTACCCATCCTTTGATGGCGGCTCCCGCGAATAGGGTTCGCAGCGTCGTCGTCTTCACCACAGGGGCAAACAGCTCCTTGAAGTCCACCTTCTCCTTCTGCTGGTACCCCTTGGCTACAAGCCTAGACTTGTAGCGCTCGATCTTGCCGTCGGCATCCGACTTGATTTTGAAGAGCCACTTGGACGTTATCGCCGTACGCCCCTCCGGTAGCTCCACCAATTCAAACGTGTCATTCTCCTCGATGCTCTTCAGCTCACTCTCCATTGCCTTCTTCCACTCCTCAGCATCACTACTCTCCAAAGCCTCCTTGAGAGTTGCTGGTTCTCCCGGCATCTCCACCGGAGAGAAGAACGCGAAGGCACACTCCTCGTAGTCACTCTCCTCGTCGTCTCCGACCATCATTGCCGCTCCAGCCAGGGCTGTCTTGCCCTGCTTTCCCGGCGCATCATAGGTCAACCTATTAGGGGGTTGATTTCTCCTCTTCCCCCTTTCTTCCTCCTCAGTTGCAGGGACTTGAAGGCCTTGGCGTTGCTGCGGTGTGGCTCGGATCCGTGGAGCGCTCGTAGTGCGGGAAGGAAGTGTCGGTGCACGCTCGCTCACTTGCTGCACCTCCTCCTCTTCTTCCTCTGCATCATTGGTCTCCTTTCCCCCATTCACAAGGGAGGATTGCCTCGTGGTTGTGCTGCCGCTGCTCAGCTCCAAAGGCAGCTCCACATGCTCCAAACCGGAACTCTTCACCTCCCCAAACCGCACGCATATCTTCGCCTCATTCTCCGCCTTCCAATCCTTGTACATGAAGTTCTCCATGAACTTGCAGTCCCTGCTCACCAAGAACTTCTTGGTGAATGGGTCCCAAAGAAGCCATCCCTTGCTGTTTTGAGCCATGCCCAAGTGCACGGCCCACACCGCCTTGGCACCAAGCTTGTTGTGCCGAAGATGCTTAGGCACGAGCGCCATCCACATACACCCGAACACCCGAAGCATATCCACCTTTGGCTTCCTTCCTAGCCACTCCACATAGGACACCCATTTGTCTGCTCCCACATGAGTCAAGGCTCTGTTCTTGGCCACACACGCGCTCCGCACCGCATCAGACCAGAAATAGTCGGGTAGCCCGACTTCAATGAGCAACCCGCGTGCCGCCTCCGTGATTGTGTGATTCGCTCGCTCGGCGATGCCGTTCATTGCAGGGGAGTATGGCATGGTGAGGGAGTGCCGAATACCATTCCTCTTCAGCCACAACCCAAACTCCTTGCTCAGGAACTCTCCCCCATCGATCAGTGCGGATTGACTTGACTAGACGGTCTTGTTGCCGCTCCACCATCGGGAACCAATCCGGCTTCAACGTTTCAGCCACGTCGCTCTTCTTGGCCAGCACATACACCCAAGTCATGCGGGTGTAGACGTCGACAATGGTGAGAAAATACTCAGCTCGAGAAGCTCCAAGCTTCAGGGGGCCTGCCACGTCCATCACCACCTCATCAAGCGGTGCCTTAGCCGTCGCCTCCGAACTAGAGAACGGGAATCGGGTGAATTTGGCTTGCATGCACGTCGGGCAGCCAAGTACCTCATTGGGCTCCCCCTTCACACGTATGCCAGCAACCATCTCATTCTTCACTAGCTGCTGCAAGATTGGCAGGGCCACATGCCCCATGCGCCGATGCAAGGTGGGCCAATCACACTCCCCCGTAGCCGAAGTTGGATTGGAGAATGCGGCGCTCGCAATAGCGCCCCACATACTCTCTCCGTAGTCCTCCTTCGCTGCTCCCTCGGGGTTCTCCTCACCCTTTTGCTGCTCCTTGGTTGCTGCACCACTCTCCTTAGGTTCACTGAACTTGCTGGTCCCTCCAGGTCTGCTCTTCTTGAGCTCATTCTCCTTACCGCGACCGTTCGTGCCATCGTCGCTACCAACCGCTCCATCCTTGGTGCTGATGCTTGCTGCCACTTGCCTCTCCTTAGGCATAGGGACGACTGGGATCTGCCACATCTCATTGTTGACATCCTTGTCCTCATGAAGGTCCCAAAGAATTCGATCGCCAAGCCTTGCGGTGTAGGTCTTGGCTCCCTTCGAGTTCGTGTCTATGTCGGCCTTTGCCAACCGCCGCACGGAGATCAGGTTCGCAGCAAGGCTGGGAAACAAAGCACGTTCTTGAGGCCCACCATCTTCCCATCAGCACCCTTGAACATGGCCTTGCCCATGCCTTTCACCTCCGCTCGTTGCCCCAAAGCCGATGTGACATGCTTCACCGGTGACGGTTCGAGTTCAGTGAGCAAGTCTGGGCGAGGTGTCATGCTATAGGTAGCGCCACTATCGATCACCCAATAGTCCAGGGGGTGTAAGATCACCCTCCTCACAGCTGCTGGCTCCTCAAAGCCTTCATCCTTCTCTAGACCAGCTGGTACTTACGTCGACACGAAGTAGAATAGACCCAGGTACCGATCGTCGCTCGGGTCCTTGTCGTTGTCTCCGCTCTTCATGTTTGCAGCTCCGCCACCGCGACTACCACGGCCTCCACTGCCTCTTCTTCTCCCTCCTCCTGCTCCTCTACCCTCCTGGCCTTGAGCAGGGGTCCATCCTTCAGGGAGTTTGAAGCAATCGCGCCACATGTGCCCGGTCTTGTGGCAATAGTGACATTCACCGTCAAATCGGCCGCGATCGCGACCGTAGCTCTTGCCGTCGCTGCCACTCCCGCGACCTCCACTGAAGTTGCTGCCACCAAACCTTCCTCCCCCTCGTCCTCTGCCTCTTCCACGACCATATCCACGGCCGATGCTCGCTGCCCCTGCGCCATCCGCACTCACCAACTCACGGCGGCGGAAATCCTCTTGAAGGATAGCTCGCTTCACGTCTTCAAGCGAGAGGCGGGGCAAGTCGCGATTCAGGTTGATGATGAGCGAGGACCATGACTCAGGGAGTAGGGCCAGCAACTTGGTCTTCTTTTGGAGCTCACTATAGTTCAAATCAGCTCCCTCAAGCCGAGTCAACAAGTCAAAGAATTTCTGCACCCCTTCTTCAACCGCTTCATCCTCTTCAATTCGTAACGACGCCATTCGCCGTTCCAACACCACAGCTACCGCCGCTGTTGCAGGAGCGTGTACACGCTTGAGAGCAGCCCATGCCTTTGGTCCCTTCTTTGGTTCACGCTGGAATGGCTTGATGTGACGGATCTGGCTGCTCCCCAACGCTTGCCCTAGTAGGAGGTAGCCTTGTGCGCTCTTCCGCACCCACGGGCTCTTCTCCGGGTCGTTCTTGGGGCGCTTCTCCGTTCCTTCCATCACCTCCAGCAGGTCATAGTGATCAAACACGTTCTCCATTTTGAAGGACCACTCAGCAAAGTTGTCACCGTTGAACTTGTCAAGGCCAAACACTCTAGGCTCGTCCCTAGATGGGCCAACACTTGGTTGCACGGGCGCCATGGCTGAGTCACGGGGTTGGCCTTGAGCTTGGGGCTTCTCCAATGCCACCAGCACCTCTGCCACCACTTTCCTCAGGTCCAGCCATTGTCAAAACTGCTCCAAGGGGCTCTGATACCACTTGTTATAGTCACAGTAGGCTCTAATGTGCCTGAAAGATAGACTGCACAGTCGGATTTCTGCACAGCGGCTTCAAACGTTCATAGCGATCTGCTCACAACTCCAAATGACTTATTCAACTTGGATCTAGAGCGCCTCAATGTCGCCTACAATAGGTAATTTAAATCGCACGTTTTCATTAACAACTGATGACACACCTTTGGTTTGAACGAACGGCACTATGGCAGCAACATAGTCTTAGAACACAATATAGGAAGATTTAGGAAGAGTTACGGGTTGGGAATGACTCCTAGCTCCTACAAACCCCAATAGCCGAGGTACAGTGATGTGGAACAGTGCCACACTGTCCCCAACAACGAAGGGTCTCGAAACTACCCTTCACTAGGGCCTACACCAAGTGAAATGTTACACTACACAAAGTAATGTAACTATCTTCAATATCTTGAGGCGCACCCTTTTGGCGAGCTTCGAAATCACTTGAGGCTTGACACCAAGGCTCGGGCTCTTCATCACAAACTCATCCTTGAGTTCTTGATGGGTCTTCTGCACACACCTGCGACACACCGAACGTTCGACACAGGACAAAATAGAAACCGCGCACGACAAAATAGAAACCGCGCGCGAGACACAAACGACCGCGTAACATGCCTCTAGCGATAACTCGCTATTGACTCGACACACACACTCGAAATCATGACTCAACATTCACACACAATTATAAGCATGATATATATATTATCCCATGCCCTCATACCATTCCATACACACACACATGCACGCACACGGACAACAAGCCGAGTGCAAACCGTAGGGTTGCACCAACAGACACTTGGCCACGTTCACCCGTCAGCCAGGGTCGAGCCTGTACACCCTTACTACTAAGTCCCCTCCGGCTGTTGAGTTTGCCCAGGTAGCTGCGTCGAGTCAGGTGTTTGCTGCGGCGTCCAGGTCTGGTCCTGAGTCTGCTCCCTGTCCCACCAGACTCTCCTTTGGCACCACCGCCTTGGTCACCCCTCCTTGCCTCGTCTCCGAGGCATGGCCTCCCGTGTCCTTGTCTCTGGTCTCCCTCAGTCTCTCCCTCCCCTTCCTCCGGGGCTTGGCCCTACCTGCGTCCCCTGCATCGAGGGGCAACAGCGCGCCGCCCCTCACTCCTCCGAGTTTCCTCCGACAGAGGCTCCACTGCAGACTCTCCACATGGACGTGTGGGGCCCAGCCCGCGTTAGTGGGCAGGGGCGCGAGCGGTACTTCCTGCTGGTGGTTGACGACTACTCACGTTACACCACATACTTCCCCTTGCATAGCAAGGGTAACGTCACTGAGGTGTTGATCGACTGGATCCGCGCAGCTCGTCTCCAGCTCAAAGAGAGTTTCGGCTCCGGCTTTCCTGTTCTGCGTCTGCACTTGGACAGAGGCGGGGAGTTTTCCTCTGCCCGTCTGGGAGCCTTCAGTCGTGCACACGGCATCCGCCAAACCTTCACGCTTCCGGCCTCTCCAAAGAAAAATGGGATTGCTGAGCACCGCATTGGCATGGTCATGGACGTCGCTCGTACGTCCATGATATATGCGGCTGCCCCCCATTTTCTGTGGCCGTTTGCGGTTCAGTACGCCGCGCATCAGCTCAACCTTCAGCCCCGGGTCTCCTTGCCAAAGACCTCCCCCGCCTTGCGGTGGACCGGGAAGGTTGGCGATGCGTCTGCGTTTCGGGTCTGAGGATATCGGGCGTTTGTCCGCGACTTGTCTGCGGACAAGCTGTCCCTCTGTGCTGTTCCCTGCGTCTTCCTTGGCTTCCCCCCTGACGCGCCTGGGTGGCAGTTTTACCACCCCACCTCGCGTCGTGTTCTGTCCTCCCACGACGTCACTTTTGACGAGTCGGTGCCTTACTACCGTCTCTTCCCCTACCGCACTGCGCCTCTCCCCCCGCCGCCGCTCTTCCTTGTACCAGGTCCTCCCCCGGTAGACCCCCTCCTCCCTCAGGGTCCTGCCCCGTCAGGTGTGTCCCAGGTAGACGCAGTCGAGCCTGTCGAGGTAGCTGTTGACTCTGGTGCTGCTAGAGGTGCCGGGCCTGCAGGTGCCGGATCTGGGGGTGCTGAGTCTGGGGGTGCTAAGACTGGGGGTGCTGAGTCTGGGGGTGCTGGGTCTGGGGGTGCTGAGCCTGGGGGTGCTGAGCCTGGGGGTGCGGAGCCTGGGGGCGCTGGGTCTGCTCGTGTGGCCGCCGGCGGTGCTTCGTCGAGACGGGAGCCGCTCTCTCCAAAGGAGCTGCGCGAGTGGTTTGCCCGCCGCTAGAGACGTGCTGCTGAGACTGGGGGTGCTACTGGGGCTACTGGAGTTGGTCCTACTGGAGCTCCTAGGGGTGTTGGCGCTGGTGTTTCTACTGGCGCTGGTGTTTCTACTGGCGCTGGTGCGTCTAGGGGTGTTGCTGAGGCTGCTGGAGCTGACGGTCCTACTGGAGTTGAGGCTGCTGGAGCTGGAGCTACTGAGGGTGTTGGCGCTGGTGTTTCTCCTGGCGCCGGTGCGTCAAGGGGTGCTGGTGAGGCTACTAGAGCTGACGGTCCTATCGGAGTTGGCGCTGGTGGTGCTACTGGCGCTGGTCCTTCTGAGGGTGCTTGAGTTGGCGCTGGTGGAGCTGGAGGTGCTGCTGGCGCTGGTACTGCCGCTGGGGATACTGGTGCTGTCCGTGCTGGTTCTGGAGGCGCTGCACGGCCGAGGCCGTACTTCGTTCCGCTCTTGGAGCAGGTTCTTGGTCTCCCGCCCTCTACTGGTCCTGCTCCTCCCTTAGAGTGTCCTCAGCCTGTCCAGTCGTAGTCACAGTTATAGCCCGCCTCCCCTCTCCCTGCTCCTTCTCCCTACACTGGTCCTACTGGAGGTCTTGGTGAGCGTCGTGAGCCTGCGTCTCGTCCTGCGTCGCCTGTTCGTGCTGCTCGCACTAGTGGTCGTGCTGCGCGTCCGCGTCCTCCTGCGGTCCCCGGCACACACCAGATGACACTACGTCCTTCCAATGCTCCTCTGCGTGTCCTGTTGCCGTCTCCTCCAAAGTCCTCTCTTCCTGTCCTTGCTGACCCGGATGTCAGAATATGTTGTTTGTGTAGCCTGCAGTGGGGCACTCAATAGTGAGTACAGCCCCTTATGGTTTGTTATTTGTATCCTGCTGATTTCTAGTTCCATCATTCCTTCTCAATTCTATTCTTGCACACAATCCTAGCTCGTACTTGGTGCCTCCTCGTTCTAGTCCTACTTGACCAAAAGTGAGAATGGATGAATGAACTATGAAACAGTTGGGTACAAGTACTAACCCTAATTGGGTTGTACCCCATATGGGCTACCCCACTATAGCCTACACAAATGTATAAGCTATAATGTTTTGACACACCCCCATAGGCAAAGTGGGGGAGAACAAGTGGTCACAAGACCAGTCAAGCAAAGCAAAGCATAGCAAAGTAAGCTCAGGGTGGATCACAAAGTCACCACACAGTCCGAGCACAAGAGTAGGGCCACAAGGCCAGTTCACATGCAAGATCATATATATAAAGGTAAAACATGCAAGGGCAGGTATATAGTGAATACCGTACAAACAAGATCAAGAAGTGAGCAAGTGAGGCCAAGTAGGCACAAGACCTAGCAAAGTACAGAAACGCTGCTGATCACAGGGCGGAAGGGCCTTGGTAAAGACATCAGCAGTGTTGGCCTCAGAGGCCACGTAAGCAAGGCGCAGCTGACCACGCTGCTGCAGCTCACGAGTAAGGAAGTAGCGAAGAGCAATGTGCCTAAACCCTAAACCCTGAACCCTAAACCCTAAACCCTAAACCCTAAACCCTAAACCCTAAACCCTAAACCCTAAACGTGCTCTAGTCTGTGCTCCCGACACAAGGCCAGCATGGCCTTGTTGTCTACGTACAGAACTGGAGGAGAAGGAGGCGCCTCTCCTAGGTCAGTCAGCAGGTAGGTGAGCCACCGTAGCTCCTGTGCAGCCATGGCCCCTGCGTAGATCTCAGCCTCACAGCTGGAGCCGAGAACAGAAAACGAGCGGGTAGACCGCCACGAAACAGAGCCGGAGCCAAGGCTGAAGGTGTAACCCTGTGACGACCGCTGCGTAGCCTGGTCGTCAACCCAAGAAGCGTCAGCGTGACCTGTGAAAACTACTCGACGTCGCCTTCCAAGCACTAGCCCCATGCCCGACTCACTGCACACGTAGCGCAACACCCTCTTCGCTGCAGCCATGTGGTCTGGTCTGTGTCTCCCAGGAGCAACATAGCGTGCCAAGATGCTAAGAGGGTATGCAAGGTCACGTCGTGTGCAGTTCATCAGGTACATGAGGCAGCCAACAAGCTCTGGGTACGGGCCACTCGGCTCTACGAACTCATCCGAAGGCAAAGCTGAGAGCGAGTAGCGAGTAGACAGAGGAGTGGCCTGAGGCGAGGAGTACGTGAAGCCGAAGCGCTGAAGGACCTGCTGCACCATGTGTGACTGAGTCAGGGTAATGGTGCGCTCTGCTCTATCCCGGGTGATCTGCAAGCCAAGGTAGCTGCGCGGTTCACCCAGGTCTGTGCACGTATGTCTCTTCTGCAGCTCCGACTTCACGTGGGCGAGTCCAGCAGTGTCAGCAGTGGCAAAGACCAAGTCGTTGACGTACACGAGGATGTAGAACGGCGGCAAAGAGGTGTCGGTGCGTAGAAACAGCGACAGGTCGGTTGTACAAGGAGCAAACCCAATAGCCGCAAGTGTAGTCCTCAGTGTGTCGTGCCACTCTCGGGGCGCCTGGCGGAGACCGTGGACTGGCCGCTGGAGGCTCCATTGGGTACCAAGAGGAAACGAGCCAGTACAGCTAGGAGGGCGGCGCAGCCAGATCTCCTCGTGCAGGCTGCCCTGCAGGAAAGCTGTGCTGAAGT